CCCCAACCCCAACCCCAAACCCAACCCCTTAGGAAGAAAATACTTGAATATTAGTTAATTTTCAAAATTTTATTTCTTTATATCAAAGTCTTTGACTTTAGTTTGCATAAAATAATTTAATTATGCAAAGTTTAATTTATAAGCATGCTTAAAAGTTAGTGATCAACTTTGATATCATAATTGTATATTTTTCTCACTTAATAATATATAAACATGGATAAGTATTTCTTCTGAGTTTACTCTTATAAATTATTAGTTTTTAAGACATGCCAATCTGGATCATAAAGTATTTAATGATTAATTTGATTAACGACAGCAGCACAAATCTATCGAATCAGTATTAAGACAATTCTTCAGACATATTCATATTTTCAAATATTGAATTTTTTAAGGTAAGCACCTACCTCTAATAATCTAATCAATTATTCTATCTCTACAATTTAAAAAAATATCTAGAAGTTATTTATCAATTTATCCACTAATTGATCAGCTCCCTTTTTCCTGGCAATTACAATAGTAATTCTCTTTATTTGGAGATATGTCATTAAAAAATAAATTACAATTATTCTAGTACCTACTAGGTCCAAAACGAATATCTTTTTTCAATAAAGGATCTAATAACTGTCTTATTTCTCTCTAGACAATCTGTTATTCTTGACATTCATAGGAATCAAAAACAAGAGATAATATATATTTACATTATAAAATAAATATCTATAGTTTTCAATTTTGTTAACTAAATTGCCAATTGGGTATTCAGTCAAAATCTTTAAAAAGTTTATCAAGAACATAAAATAAATTCTCACTACTATGTTCTTCTTGAAGAATATTGAATTCAATTAATCTTTCAACTATAAGAAGGCAATAGATGCTATTGAATTTAATATCATGGATACCAAATCTTAGAGATTGATTATAGAATTCAATCTTTCTGTGTTATTTCTTTTTTTAAAATGTAAATCTATTGAAATAGTATTAGACAAGTTTGAATTGCAGATTCTTTTAAGTGAAATAAATAATAATAGGTGTATATACTACTTATTAGGGCCTTTGGAATTTTTTTCTTTAATATTTTAAATCCTCTAAACACACAGATTGTAAATGATCAAAATAGGTTTGGAAGATTCCTTTTTGATTGGTTAAAGCTAGAGCTTTTCTCTATTTAAAACGAGTCAATTAATTATTT